AGGCAGGTAGGAAGCAACTTACCCTCCCTCTTCTCCTGCCTCCGCCTGGCTGAATGAGGGCCGGAAGCGGGGCGGCCGGAAGCAGGGGGCGGGGCTTCATCATGTGCCCCGCCCCCCATACCTCACCCGGGGGAACTGCGATCCCCCGCGATCCCCCCGAAATGACCTCTGGTTTTTGTTAAATTTATGGAGTGCTCAGTTTGAATTTTACCACTGAGGAATGCTTTTAGCCAAAATGCGTTTGGTGTTGGTTCTTGTATACGGATATCATATGTACCTTTTAATCTCCATTTATATGATGGGACATTTGTCTTTATATTACGATTAGGTACTCATATGCAGAACCATAGGACTGTGGTTTTTAAATGACATTTTACCACTTTTGAATGTATAATTAAATTATACATGATATTTTGTACATTAGCACTACGTGCGTGGCTATACTTTAGTTTCTTCCTTTGTCCCAACTTTTCTGGCTACCTTTCTCATGCAGAATTGTGTTTTTTCTTCCCTTTTGTTTGGTTGCACTGACCCAAGGTTACCCAGCAACCTTCCAAGGCAGAGCAGGAATTCAACCTTTGGAGATCCTAGGCCGACACGGTAACCGGTACACCAAACCGATTCTCAGTGAGTACACCACCGGGATAATCGGCTGCCACTAACTGGTTAGTGCTTCGTCTTCCATCTCCTCTAGCAAGGGCCAGCTATCAGTTTTAGAAGCCACATCTAAGAGACTTATTCCGGCATAAGCTGTCGTGAGTCAGAGTTTGCATCTTGATTCCCCACTCCTCCACTTGCACCTGCTGGATGACCTTGGGCAAGCCACAGTTCTGTCAGAGCTGTTCTTGAAAAAAAGAGCAGTTTCTGTCAGAGCTCTCTCAGCCCCACCTACCTCACAGGGTGTCCGTTGTGGGGAGGGGAAGGGAAAGGAGTCTGTAAGCCACTCTGAGACTCCCTTGGGTAGTGAAGGGCGGGGTATAAATCCAATCTCTTCTTCTTCAGATGCAAGGGTGGTGGTGGTGGGGGAGAAAATAATATTCCTAATATTTATCCTAAAATTACGGGTGGGGGGAAGTCGAGGGAAGAGAAGCCTGGTGTTGTAAATCAGGTGTAATTCTCTGTGTCGGGATCTTGTTTTATATATAACAGATGATGAGAAGGCACCACAGTCCTAGATTTCCTGCCTTCTGGCAGTTTACTAATTTTATTTCAACCCAGAACCCTCATCAGGCCACAGACTCTCAGCTGGAGCCTCGCTATTTGGTAGCTGGCCAATTAGATTTTGTGCTCCATTTTCCGTTATGGGAAGCCATGCGGGAGAACTCTTTAGTTCATTAGCCAGGCTGTGAATTCCGACCGTGCCTTGGGTTTCTCCCTTCTGCCTATTTTAATTCCCTTGGGGGGGGGGGGGGCGGAACGCTCTAATGATGGACTTTTCTTCAAGAATGAGTCCAAGCTAGCCACTGTTCACTAAAGTGCAAGTTACTACACACTTCCTTCAATACCTTTTTTAAAAGGTAGCCAAGTTGAGATCTGGAGAAAACACCCTTTTAAATGGAGTAAGTTAGTGAAAATGCAAATGACGAATCGATTTTCAAATTACGGCTTCAGGGTATTCTTTTAGGAGGCTATTCAATTCATAGGTGCTGTGCTGTGCTGACCCCTAAAGGAATCTGCAACGCTGACTTTCATTTCAGCAGAAAGAGAGAGGGTACAACAGACTGAGGAATCAATAGGAATTCAGGGCTTAACATTTGAGCTGGCTGGTACCAGTCAAAAAGAAAGGCTGTACAGAAAACCACTAATTTTTGCTGCGACGGTGGAAGAAGCCAATTAGCGGAGATTATAATTAGACACTTAAGAAACGTGGGAAGGCTTCTCAATAGCAACCAGGCAATGCTGGGAGCCTACAAGGGTACAGAGGTTACAGCATGGCATATTTCACCTTGGGGAAGTTTAAGGTGAATTTGCGCGGCAGGCTTTTGAAGTGAACACTCGCTTGACTTTCCCCCTAAATTCTGGAAGTGCTCTTGACAAACCACAACCTAATACCGGACCGGTAGGAAAAGCAAGCAATCTTTGTCACTGTAAGCTGCTTTTTTTTCTGCATGGATTCTTGGAGGGGTTCCTATCCTTGAACTGCACCTGACAATTCTCACACTTCCTTTTTTCATGAAAAGGCAGGCACGGTTCAGGATGCAAAGGAACTACTTGCATTAATAAGGAAAGAACAGAGGGCACGATGGACAAGCACTGAAAGTCCCTGCTACACAAATGCAAATGTTCTCACAGCACTACCTCCAAGGGGGTGGAACCCAGGGCTGGGTCAAGAGACACTGTTTCTGGTCATTCTTCCTGAACAGACCATGGATTTCCCAACTGAGGAAACCAGAAACTGAAAGCAGCAAACGGCAGTTTCCTTACCTCTCTCCTTTTTGCTTTTTTTTCTGCATGGATTCTTGGAGGGGTTCCTATCCTTGAACTGCACCTGACAATTCTCACACTTCCTTTTTTCATGAAAAGGCAGGCACGGTTCAGGATGCAAAGGAACTACTTGCATTAATAAGGAAAGAACAGAGGGCACGATGGACAAGCACTGAAAGTCCCTGCTACACAAATACAAATGTTCTCACAGCACTACCTCCAAGGGGGTGGAACCCAGGGCTGGGTCAAGAGACACTGTTTCTGGTCATTCTTCCTGATCATGGATTTCCCAACTGAGGAAACTAGAAACTGAAAGCAGCAAACGGCGGTTTCCTTACCTCTCTCCTTTCGAGACAGGGCTGTTTGAAACGTCGCAGAGGGCTCCGCAAGGCCTTGGATAGGAAAGATTTGTCTGCGTGTCGGCCCGCAACAAAGCAGGGCTTGGGCCCAGGGGGCTGTCAGACATCACAACTGAGTGATTGAGGACTTCCAGATAACCTCGAGGTTCTGCAAGAAAAAAAAAATTCTGTTGAGGCCCTTAAGCTTGCAACTGTTTGTCAACGTGATTATATATCAACAGTATCCCCCGGCAGACGTTAATTCTGTGTAGGAATGAATATGTGGAGACAAGAACCAGAGTTGTGCCTGCTGCCCGCCCTCTGTGTAATGCATAGGGTTGACCAGTACCCCCCCCCCTCGGCCATCAGTAGGGTTGCCAGATCCAGGTCGGAAACTCCTGGAGATTTTGGGATGGAGCCTGGGGAGGACAGGGACCTCAGTGGGGTACAATGCCGTCGACTCCACCCTCCAAAGCAGCCATCTTCTCCAGGAGAACTGATCTCTGAAGCCTGGAGATGAGATGTAATCCTGGGAGATCACCAGGTCCCGCCTGGAGGCTGGCATCCCTATTAATGCAGATCCCCCCCTGCCCAGAAGCATACATGTACAGGGCTTCCCTACCCGTAAGGCATATCCTTCGTTTTCTGCAGTATATTTTTAATAGATCATGCGCGGGGTATGTGCCCACAGAAGGCCTCGTGCAGATGGCTACTTGAACACAGAGGTAGAAGGCAGGCAGAGGATCCAACCCCCAGAGAGGTATCACCAAGCGACGAGGCAAACACAGAACTGCACACATGTCAAAAAACCCAGCGCTCTATTCACCGGTTCAACCCTTAAAGCACCCAAATGAGAGACAGTCCACTGTATCAGGTGAATGTCCAGAAAGTCAGTTTTTGTAAGCGAGTGGGCTATCCGCAAGAGCTGGGGCAGGCCACAGCCCATCTAAGGGACAAAAGGATTCTTTTCGTTCCTCGCGGCAGCCTTGTCCAGCAAATTCTGACGCTTTTCAAACTGGCCGCGCAGCTTGCGAGGAGGTAACCGAAAACCCATTAGAGGTACTACTGAGCTGCAAAGGTTGTGATGTAAATATAGCGAGGCGTTTGAAAAGAGCTGATGTAGATCACTAGAACACAGCGAGGAATTTGTTTTCAAGAGGCCGAGGTGTGGTTTCGTGTACACGCAATCTTTAACCTTCTCTGCCAACACAGCTGCATTTTCTGGATAGTTCCATGTTTGCTGATGCAAAAACCTAGCTTAACCTAACACCTCAGCTGGGTGTTGAAAAAGACAGAAGTACAGCAACAACAAAACACCCCGATCGTCATTTTTACTTAAAAGCATCCAGCTCGTATTCTCGGCCGAGTCAAAGGTGGCCAGCAATGTGTGAAAACCAGCACAGTATTAAAAATGCAGCCCAAAAGCATAAAAACAAACCACTAAGGCAGCAAAGAATTAATAAATAAAAATCAGAAAATGAAGTCCCAATTTCTACCAGCGTGCCAGGGGAGGTTGCCCCAGAGGGAACGTGCCCCCCACTGACAAGGTTCCGGAGATGGGGCTCCTTACCCACACTTTTCCAAAGGAAGGAACAGACATTGGGGGCCTCCCCCAAAGATCTCTGGTTTTCATCCGTTGTGATTTTTCAGAGACAGCCATGCAATTATTTCCCCCCCAAAGACAGAGGCAACTTTCGGCATCATTTCACACTGCTCTGTTCTATGTCCTTTGATGCCCTCTCTGTTTTTTATTGACTCGTTTTTATTTATTTATTTGTTCGGCTTGACTGGTTTTTAATGACATTATTTGTTTTCATTACGGGTGGTTTTGTTTTATTGTGTTAGTTCTGAGGCACACACATATTTTCCAGATATACAAACAAACAGACCCCCCCCCCAATGTTTTTATTTATTTATTTGTTCGGCTTGACTGGCTTTTAATGGCATTATTTGCTTTCATTACAGATGTTTTTGTTTTATTGTGTTAGTTCTGAGGCACACACATATTTTCCAGATATACAAACAAACAGACCAAAAAAAACCCAACCCCAAACCACCCTTGCATAGCAGTGGGATGATGGGTTAAGGGAATGGAAAAGGAGAGTGAAGGAGGATGTGCTCTGTGAAGGTGATGGCGCTTTTTGCTCTTGGCCTGCATTCAGTGCATAGCAGTGGGATGATGGGTTAAGGGAACGGAAAAGGAGAGTGAACGAGGATGTGCTCTGTGAAGGTGACTGCGCTTTTTGCTCTTGGCTGCCTGCGTGGCTGAGCACATGCATTCAGGGACAGCAAGGAGTGTAACTCACTTGTGCCTCGCTTTTCTCCCTAAAGGGGACCCAAAGCAGCTTACATGGTCTCCCGTCCTTCATTTTATCATCACAACAACCCTGGGAGGTGGGTTAGGCTGAGAGAGTCTGACTGGCCCAAGGTCACCTGGCCAGCTTCCAGGGCACGAGTGTGGATTCAGACCCAAATCTCCCAGATACGATGACTTCGACACTCTTAAGCCCCTACACCCCACAAGGACACCCTTGAGGATTCTTGATAACTGTACGCATGCAAAATGTCATGTCTGGTAAGGCTGTCTCAAACGGTGTGGGGGAAAAAACAATAGAAAATGGGCAATATGTTGTCGAAGGCTTTCACGGCCGGAGTTCATCAGCTGTTGTAGATTTTCCGGGCTGTATGGCTGTGGTATCGGCATGCAGTAGAAAGGTCCAAGACCACAGCCATACAGTCCGGAAAATCTACAACAACGAAAGAAAATGGGCAATTGCTGTATACGCATATGTCCTCCATCACATTCATCCCATTACAACACTTCACAGAAGTCCTCCCATGTTCATTCCCCATTAACAGGAATCTCTTCCCTCCCTCACATGCAGGAGTTCCCCTTCATTTTTTCTTCCTTCTTGGCTGAGCAGCCCCTTTATCTATTTTCTTCTTTTCTGAAGGTTTATGGCTGTCCCACACTGTCACTTTATTGTATTTTGATGCTTGCTCAGCACAGGAACTTAAAGGGAGAGGCAAGATCACCTCTTTAACTTGGAACTTCTGAAAATGGCACACAAGAGGGTGTGTGATGAATGCAGGATGGGATGGGGCCACAGTCGTCCAAAACTGACAGCTCAGAAAATCTGCAGACTGGTGGCATCTAATCACGTGCTCCCAAGAGCTGAAACTTTTGGAGCATGAATCCCATGCACTGGGGCTCAGGCTATTAGCAATCGTTCACTGGATTTTCTGGTGTGGACAATCCAAACCAACTGAGAATGATTGGATAGAACACTACTGCTGTGCAGACCCCACGTGTCCATCATCACACACGTGATGTAAAATAGAACTAGTAAGTAAGTTTTGTTCACAGTCATGGACCAGCACATAGTACAAATAGAACTACTTAGAAGGAAAAGAGATGGCGTGAACTATACTGGTGCATACCGGACGTGTTACCTTTTTGCTGTATGAATTCTCCTGCTGTTGTATGAGGTGTTTTCAAGTGATGCAATAACATTTTTGTGCATTTTATCTGCATTCTGTATCATGTCTAATAAGCTATGCCTATCCAGAGTTCTGTAATCCTAATACACTGCTTATTAAACGTCTCATCCTATCGACTGCATTGACTTGCACTGTGGAATCCTCTTTTGAGTCTCTGGGAGAAAAGTGGGCTATAAGTATAGCAAATAAAGCAAAAATAATAAAATATAGCCATGGTAAATGGATGCAGTCTAAAAGACAAGAGAAGAAACCATGCTCCAAAACCGAACATGTAAAGAGTTGGAAGGGACCCTCCAATCTAATTTATTGCAGCAGGAGCCAGTAAAACAGTACAATTCTGATATAAAAGGGATTAAAACAGTAATAACATGGGAATAATATAAAAACATTAACAGGAGAGAGTTAATAACATTAGTAAAGTAAAATAGTGTAAATAAAAGAATCATACAATTTTTTCAGCTAAAATAAGTTTACAGTTCCTTATAGCTAAGCAACAAAATTTTGCCACAGCGTTAAGTCACTGAGCTCTGAACGTCTTCTAAGAGGAATTTACGAAGGACTTCTGGCCTAAAGTCAAGATAAGACTGCAAAGGGCTAAATCTAGACAGAAGGGGTAGTATAAGATGGACTCGTTCCTCCTGATAGAATCTGCAGAACAGGAGGACATGAGTAATTGATTCCACCGTATTAGCCATGCATGGGCATCTACGTTCATGCATTGGGACTTGAGTGAATTTACCTTCCAGTACAGCGGAAGGGAGTGCCTCAAAGCGGGCTCTGGAAAAGGCCCATCTATAGGGCTCATAGGTAATGTTAACTAAAAAAGGGGCAACAGTAAAATTTGGCCAAGATTTTATGTTTCTGTAGTTCTCGGGTAGCAAAGCTTTGTCATTTTGTGATTCAATATCATGAAGCCTCTGCACGACAGCTGTTCTTGCCTTGTATAGGCTTCCATAGAAGAGATCTTCTGGGAATAGCCCAGTCTGATTTAATTTATTAAGAATTTGTGTGGACCAGGCAGGGTAAGGATCCGAGGCTAAAAGTAAGGTATTAAACCCTTTGGGTTGTAATGAATTTTTAGCCAGAGCATTATAGCCTGCTCCCAGACCTTTGTTTCAACTCTGAGTAGCTCAGCCTCTTGCCTAAGTGTTACATTAGAGGTACTTCTAGGAACGCCAAATAGAGATCTAAGAAATTTAGATTGAACCTTTTCAAGGGTCTTTAGATTGGCAGAAAGTCCGATTTGTGAGCCATACAGGAGTTGAGCCAATGATTTTGCCTGGAAGGTTTTTAAGGCCGTGGGGAGAAAGCCTGCACCTTCTAAATAATCTAAGAATGGCATTTGCCCTCCTCTCTGCCAGGTTAGCTGATGAGGACAGATGTGCTGAGAATTTAGAATTATAAGAAAAGGTAATGCCTAAGTATTTAAAGTTCTTAACTTGATCTATGGCATTTCCTTTAATATTCCAGTTGAACTTCTTGAATGAGTTACCAAAACGGACAATTTTAGTTTTAGCGAAATTAATAGATAGTAATTCCGTGTCACATTGCTCTTTACATTTTATCAGGGCTCGCTTCAGGCCAATCCTTGTCTGGGATAAAAGAACAGCATTGTCAGCATACATTACGATTGGAACCTTTCTGCTACCTGAGAATGAGGAAGCATGA